ATAGGAATGTTGGGTTTTTTTTTTTGGGGGGGGGGGGGGTTATTATAGTAGCTGTATAGGAATTAGAGGCCAAAAAAGGGCCTCACAAAAACAATCATTTGTCCGGTTCACAGACAATAACTTGCGAATAACTGTATAGATCTGTATTAAATTTAAGCACAAGGTTCCATTCCACAATAGGAAGGTTGGGATTTATTTCGGGGGTTATTGTTGTAGCTGATTAGTAATTAAGGACCAAAAAGAAGCATTTTTCATGTTTCAGGAAGCTTATTTGTGTATTAGAGTTTGGATTTCTATGAAATTTTACTACAAGGTGGAATACTTTAAATGGAAAGTTGGGATTGATTGTAAGGGTCATGGTCCAAACCGTTCAATGATAACGGGCTGAAAAGGGGTCAAAAAATAGGATTTTCGGATTTCTGGACAATAACCTGAGTAGAAGTCTATATATTGCTATGTAATTGTGCCACACGGTGTTTTACCATAAAATAAAGTTTGGGATCTGTTTTAGGGGTTATGACCCTATTGGTTTAGTTAAAAGGGGCCAAAACCAATACTTTATGTAAATTGCTTATTGTTTTAGCAATTTCAATGGGGTTTAATTCAAAAGTCTTGAATTCTTGTGAGTCTTTAATATGCTGAATCTAATTGGGTATTTATAATTTGGATTTTAGGGTCTGTTTTTGATATGATTCATATTAAGGTCCAACGGGTCCAAAATGAAACTGTGTTTGATTTCTTTAAAAATTAAATTATTGGTGTTCCTTGATATGCTGAATCTAATTGTGTATTTAGATTTACCTTATTTTGAGGCCTGTCTTCAAATTGGTCCAGATTAAGGTCCAAAGGGTCCAAAATACAACTTTTTTTTATTTAAAAAAAAAAGAAGTATTCTTGGGGTTCTTTGATATGCTGAATCTAAGCATGTATTTAGATTTTTAATTTGAGGCATGATCGGCCCACATTAAGGTCTAAAGGGTCCAAAATTAAACTTTGTTTGATTTTAAAGAAAAATCAAAGCATCGTATATATATAGATATTTCAATTTTAAACTCTGTCAGATTTTTTTTTTACAAGGATGGAAAGGGAAATCTTCAAATAAGTAATATATTTTTTTATATGCCATTAATAATAACTGGCATAATAATTTCCAGAAAGAGGCCTCAGAAATGCACTTTCTCAACAACAAAAATTAAAAAAAATAATAACTATTTTTTATCTAAATTGGTGTTTTATTCTTCATTAAGAAAAAATACATTTCCTGTATTCAAATCTAAATGTACAAATACCAAATGATGAGATATTTTCAATTACTGTTAAATAGCAATATAATGGGATATAAATGTAGAACAAACAAATAAATTTTATTGAAGAAAATGCTCAGGTAAGAATTATGCAATTTTGTATACTATTTCAATCAAATTTCTGATAATTGTAAGTAATTAATTAGAACTTGATTATTGACTTATGTCAGATGTTAATGACACTGATTTTACAAGTGAAATAAAATTTGCTTGCATTTTTTATACATATTTTTTAAATTTTTTGTCTTTTCTTTGAAAAAAACCCACATCTGATTAATCATTCAGCTAGCTAGCAAAATTAACAGTGAGAATATTTTAGTGTAGTGTAGATTAAAATAAATTATACATTTGTAGGTTTACTATTGAGGTCAAGAATTTGTGAAAACTATTCAGTTAGGTGTGTTATAAATTGTGTCTATTTAATTATGTAACAGGTCTTGAGATATTAACTGTGGTGAATTAAGCCTGGGGTCATTTCCATTTAATACTTACAACTTTGATTAAACTTATTTGAAAATCATGACAGTTGATAATCATACTGACTCTTACTTGCCTATGGAAAGAATTGGAGTAATATCATTTCAAAAAAGGGTGTGAATCAACTTAGATATTTACACATGTTGACCTTCATTTCATTGAACAACAACTTACACAAGCATAAGATACTAATATAATACTTTCAAAATTCTTATCAACTGATTCAATTGATGTACAAATACTTTTTCAAATTAATTCATATATAGTAAATCATTATAAATTTTGATTTACAAAGGAACTATACGATAGTGTATATCTAAAATAAAAGGGTTGTTCGACCAATCTTTTCTTAATTTAAGGGCAAATAACATGTCAAAAGTTGGCAGTTGATGATTAAAATGGTGTAGAAAGTTTCTGCAAGTCATTAAAACACATACCTAGTTTCATGATACGTCTTCAACTTAGTATTCTGCACCATCTCTAAAACCAGAGTGATCGCATAGATCCAGCATGGCTGAATCAAAAATTGGTTGGGGTTCTTTGATATGCTGAATCTAAGTGTGTATTTAGATATTTGATTTTGGGCACAGTATTCAAGATGAACTTAATTGGGGTCCAAAATGGAATGTTTGATTTCATCAAAAATTGAATTGTTTGTGTTATTTGATATGGTCAATCCAACAGTGTTTTAGATTTTTTGATTTTGTGCTTTGTTTTCAAAGTTGGTCTGAATTTTGGTCCAAAATTAATCTTTGTTTGATTTCTTCAAAATTTAAATCATTGGTGTTCTTTAATCACAGTGTCCAATCTAACAGTGCTGTAAATTTTTGATTGTTTGGTCCATTTTTCAAACTGGACCCCATAAAGGTCCAATTTATCCAAGATAAAACTTTGTTTTTAATTTTAACAAAAATTTAAACAATGTAGTTATTTGATATGCTGAATCCAACCATGTATTTAGAATTTGAATATTGGACCATAATTAGTAAATGTCTAATTTTAAAATTATTTAAGAACTTATACCACATTCATTCTGTGTCAGAAACTATGCTATTAATACGTATTTGCTCAGAATCTAAATTCAGAGATGTTATTGGATAATTAACAGAAATTTTAAGTTTGGTCATAGTTGAAAATATTTATAACATCATATCTAATTTTAGAGAACTATTTTTGTGGCTTACATCACTGGTTCATGGAAAATAAACTGGTTTACAGACAATAACTTTAGTATAAGTGTATGGATGTGTAAGAAATTTTAGCACAAAAATCCATACCACAATAGGAGGGTTGGGATATTAAATAGTTAATTAATTCTACATTTATAGATTTATTGCACAACTAATGGTGAGTCATAGTTTAAAATAGATTTGCTTTTCAGATATATTAATTGTGGTAATAATTGTGTATGCAATGTGTTTTATTTGAAGATTGTTTACATGTTTGAATATTTTCTTATGGTTGAAAATTCTCCTGGAAATTAAAATAGACCTTTGTCCATCTGTTGAAGTGGAAGTGTACATGTAGGTCAGTGAAGTTTTTAAATATAACTGTGCCATACATTATGTAATGTTAATCTTAATAAAAAAATTGTTATTTTTAGATAATAATCTTTTTATTAAAGGATATATTTCATTACAATAGATTGTGTAGATAAAGTTGTTGACATTGGTAGATAATTTGCATATATTAGTTTGTGACAAATGAAGGAAAAAGTATTGGGAACTATTAATTATATATATAAAGATTGATTACACTAAGTGTTTTTAAATAATTTTTCACCTATTATCAAGACATGTGGTAATTATCATTCACACAATTATAATTGGAATGACAGATTTATTTGAAAATTATGTGTTTTTACTAAGTGTTGTTGATGATCAGCTCTGTAGGACGGTATAAATATAGTTTGAAATTTACTGTTCATTATTAGATATTTTGAAGATAATTATACAGATAAGTTTTATAGATTTTTTAAAGACATTGCATTAATTATAAATGATATTTTGGAAAAAAAAAATGTTTTTTTCTTTGGTAAATTGTTTGAAGAATTTTGTGGTAGGTTTGTTTGTTAATCTGTATAAACTAATTTTCTGAATGCCATAAATATATTTTTTGTTGATGAAGCAAACTCCTTTAAAAACTAAGCTTTTATTGTCTATTAATAAACATGTATTCAGATTTTTGATTTTTGGGCCCAGTTTTCAAGTTGGTCCGAATCAGGGTCCAAAATTAAAGTTTGTTTGATTTCAACAAAAATTGAATATATATATATATGGTTCTTTGAAATGCTGAATCTAACTATGTATTTATATTTTGGATTTTGGGCTCCTTTATCAAATTGGTCCACATTGAGGTCCAAAGTGTCCTCAATTAAACTTTTGTTTGATTTCATCAAAAATTTAATTCTTGGTGTTCTTTGATATGCTGATTCGAACCATGTACTTAGATTTTGGATATTGGACCATAATAACTTTAGGTATGATTCTTTTCTGATGTTATTCCAGAAAAGCATTGTCTAAAAAAAGGTGCAAAAATGTTTCACTTGTCGTAGCCGCCTTCCAATTCCCTATTTTTTCGATTATGACTTTTTATAACTATTCACCGATTTTTTTTGTGCTATGAGCAACATATCAGAGGTCACTAGTGGAGCAAGATATGCTTACCCTTTTGGAGCACCTGAGACCATCCCTGTGTTTTTTGTTTGGTTTGTGTAGTCATGTTTTCTGTGCATTGTTTCGTCAACTGCTGTTTAGTTGTCCCATGGTGCGTTTGTCCCTGTTGCATTCACAACTTGTCCATGATTTTTAAGACCATATATTGACCTTTAAATTTTGTTGTTGTCAATGAGTGGTTAAGTGCTGCCATATATTTCCATCAACTTAAACTGTTATATATAGTTTTCCATTTATGTAATTTGAGTAAGAGTTTTCCCGCTTTGCCAACATTAAGGATTTAAATAGATATTAAGCTACTGACCAAAAATCGTTGGCAGCATCTACAAATTCCATCATAAATCAACCAAATTTACCTTGTTTCACTGGTAACTAGATTTTACAAGAAGTTTGTTTCTTTATTCATTCAATATAAATTTAGTTAGTCATATAAGAAATTCAACAAGTTTGTTTTATATGGCAGACAAGGGAAAAATAACTCCAACTCAAATTACATCATTGGAAATATTAATTACCAAGTTCTAGACAAACAAAAAAGAACACATTTTTCACATGATCAAAATAAATATTTATTCAAACATGAAAAACCTTCATATTTCTCTATAATTAACATGATCTACACTGTTAGTTGGCAGTGAATAAATTTACATGAATTTAAATAAATTTACATACTTAATGTATGTACAAACTACTTAACTTGAGCTTTAAGTTACCAATCATTTATATACATACAGCACCTAAAGAAGAATACCTACAAAACATGGTCACATGACGTAAACATGGTCACATGGTAACAAAATGGATTTCTCAATGACATAAATGAAAAATAAATAAATATATAATTACTTCTATTTTATTCATAAATGAGTGAAAGTTTTAAAATGGCAAAAACCCAAAAGTAAATTATCAAATTTAATATATTATTTGAATTCAAGGTCAGATTGAAGTAATATACTACATTCAAGGTCATAGCTTCATTGACTGGTGTTGGAATGTTTAGTTATGATGAATTTTTTAATATTTTGACACAATAATAATTTTCAGGGATACATTTTTTATGTACTTTATAAAAAATATGTCCCACCCCAAAATCCATTAATATTTTTTTCCAAAAAAAATATAAACATGGCTTTAATATAACAGTTTTTATATACTCTTGGTCACCTAAAGTTACTTCAAATCTGACCTTAATTTAGTTAATTTAAATTAAACGTAGCCATTAAATTTGATGAATAATTTAAAGCAACTCATTCCACAAGATATATTCAAGCAAATTGCTCAAAGAATCATTTCTGGTATATTCAACAAAAATAACTACATCTTTCTAAAATAAAAATGCATAAAAACTGTGCTAAATAGACAAAGATAACTTTGAAAAATAGATTATAAAAACCCCTTACACAGAAAGATTAGAATGTATCAGAAAAGTGCTGTAGTATTTATCTTATGTAATGTTATAAAAACATAGTGGCTGTCACATGATCACTAAGCAACACATGTGACATTTGACCTATTTTTGAAGGGATGGATGGCTAGACATCCTACAGAAATGTAACAGACATTGACATGATTTTACAGCTATGACATGACCTATGGATTTCTATAGCTTTTCTAGTAAATCAATATCGTTTAACAGACTAACCCGAATAATTCAGTCGTTATATGCTGCTGATCTATCATTACTACATTTACTTGCAAGTAGGAGAGATCGGTTATTAGGAGGGACTGAATTATTTGGGTTATTAACAGACATATTCTAATACATTTCGACAGATATCCAGTCAGAACGTACCAATTTTCAAGCATCAGATGAACATTTAGACATTTAATGTCTCTTCAGTGATGATTGAGGCAAAATATTTGAAATTCAAATCCTAATAATAACGTTGAAGGGCTGGTCTACCGGACGCATATCCCATCTCCTTATTTTCATGATGACTATATATCTAGTGGAAGTTTTTGGTACAATTTTTGTCAGGCACGTTAAGACTTGTCTGACCAACCTAAAATTTTCCTAAGGTGTAATAACAAATCAATCAATTTTGTCTAAAAATCATGAATGTTAATGTGAAAAACATCCCAGCAGACATAAGTGGTCAAATTTATATAGAATAGGTATTGATTGATTCAACATAATTACAACCAATTATGCTTGCTTGGTTAGGAACATTTATGAAAAGAAAAGTATTCTTGTTTTTACTCACTGAATGTCTTAAAAGCTCGAAAATGAACATGTGTAATATGGAATAAATACATATGATCCATTTACATAAATAATGGAAAAATGTTATAATGGTCTAAAAATGAGTCTAAAATTACTAATTAATTTAACATGAGATTCATAAAAAAAGATGAATTACTTCAAATTCAAAGTTAAATATACAACTGCATTTCCAGTAACAAAATTCACTCTAAATATTGCACACCATGGATTTCCCAATGTATTGCAAAGCTAAACCGTCATTGCATTGTGAAGCTGTTGAAACTGCACTATAAGGGGAGGTTATTCTATAGTTCAAAGGGGAGGTAACTCTAGACAAGACATTAAATTCAAAGTGGAGTTTAACTCCTGCTATAAGCTTCTCTTACAAGCCAAATAAGCATTACTACAAAAGATAAAACTCAATACACATGCTTACACATTTTATAGTTTCAAAAATTTCATACGAGAGATAATTTGAAACATTGAGAAATTATAAACCACTCGTCATTTTTCTGTCCTTAATAAAATACAAAGCACAAAACAAATCTACATTGTTCCAGCTTAATGAAACCTATTTATACTTACAAAGACTGAAACCATTGCTCACAACTAAAAGGAGTTGGTTTTGAAGATGTAAAATTTCTAAAATAATTCTTTTTTTTTTCTTCTCTGGGACTGGTGCTCCTATTTATTTGTTTCTGATTTACCAAGGAATAAGTGTAAACAGGTTTCACAGTTACTTTAATAAGAAATTAACTAACAAAATATGCAATAAAAATATGCAACAATTTACCATGTATATTAATTTTGTGCTTGTAAAAGGTCAAGAAAACTTTTAAAACATTTCAACTTTTCCCCATATAGTGCCAAATAATATGAATTGAAATATATAAATATTTGTTCAACCCTATATATAACAGATTTCAATCAGATCCAAATTGGAAAACCCCTTTCTGTAAATAAATAAATACCATAATATTCCATTAATACATTTGTGTACAATAACAATTTTATGTCCACTCAAGCTAGGAGAAGACAGAATAAATAAATATCACAATATCAAACAAAAGAATATTCGTCATGACGACAACCCCGATATGACCCTCAACCATCCTCCTCTTCACACCACTGTCTTTCCATTGTCTGTCGTGACCTGTTTGAGAAGAATTGAAGCCATTTAAAAATAACATAGTTTGGGGATTTAAAGATTTCTTTTAATCGAGTAACTGAAAAATATATATATGTTTCCTCTCTTAGTCTATAATTGATATGGTTTCAAATTTCACTCTTCAAAATTCTGAAAGATACCATCACATAAATGAAATTGAGGCTATTATAATTTTGAAATGCGGCCTCTTCAATTAAGAAGAATAAAATCTTTTTTTTAAAAATCACACAATAACAAATATTGATTTTCAAACGATAACCTCATTTCTAAAATTAAAAACAAAGAGTCTAGCTACTATCACAGCTTAATGCTTTACAATCTGTACAAGAATTCATAGTTTATTAAATTTAAAAAAAAAATAGAACAAATCATTTACAAGTTCTTTCATCATTTAATGGTATCCTTTTCTTCTGCCTTTCTTTATATTTGGCTTGGTACTGTTCAAATCTCTAAATATTCATATGAGATATTAACGCTAAAAAAATGCTGTAAAAAGCAATTTTTTGCCTTAGAAAAGCAAATCCATTGATAGGTGGATAGATACTGATATCCTTAAGAGTATCAAATTAATGGAGAAAAGAAACAGACATTGATTCTGATGGTTGAACCTTTTTCTTAAAAAAAAAATTATGTTCATCAAAATAGTTTTATGAGTTCAGAGAAATTTCTTTTTTTTTAGTTCATTTTTTTCTCCTCAACATTTTACACTGGGACCTAATATAGACTTTTGTTCCAGTTTTACCTTTATATCTAAGCATTTATCTGAAGGTTAACACATAGTAACAGATTTTCACAAGGTTCATGATAATGGATGACCCAGAAAAAAAAATCAGGGTAAAGCACCTGTATTCATCAAACCATGAGAAATCATTCGCCCCTCCCAGTACTACCTTCAAAAAATAAAGTAATTTACTGATTCCCTGTATAGTTTAATGAATACAAGTACCAGCATGGTACAGCTAAGAACATATATTACAACAACACCAAGGATAGGTAAAATAAACATGCTTAATCATGCATTAAATAAAAATACAAAAATATTCAGTCTGTCAGCTATTTTATTTCTCTTACTAATACATCATTTATCATATCTGATCAAATTTTTGTAAGTATTTGTAAATTCTTTTTCTTTTCACTTTGTTCCTAAAAATTTTCCAAAGTTAATTTTGAAAAAAAATGGCAGAAAAAAAGTCCTATAGGAAAATTTATCTCAATTTATAGTAATTTTTCCCTTAATGTAGAGAGAAACAAAATGACAACAGAAACTGACCAATACCAAATCCAAATGCTGCCCTCAATGAAAATTCAATTATAAAAATCATTCAGATCATACAGAAATACTGCGTAACAATTTTAACATTGCACAATTCCGATTTTGGCCTCTTAAAAATAGCACCGAGTATTTTATAAGTCAAATGACATAGTCACAAGTTTATATCAACAATGTGAAAAAGTTCATGACATTGCACGTCATATAGGTTCATGACATCGTATGTCACATGGGTTCATGACATCATATGTCACATGGGTTTGTGACATCACATGTCACATGATGTGGAGTCCATGCTCGAGATGGAAATTTCTTGTATACTACTGCTATGACTGTCAATACTAGCGGAATCATCATCTTGACTTTGTGAGCTATAATTAGCTGCTTCTTGTAGCCTCTTTATCATGTTCAGCTGAAATAGTTATATTTAAAACATAAGCATTCCTCAAAATCAAAATAAGCTGATTAATATTTTTCTTGTAAAATAACTGCAAAATTTCAATAATTTCATCCAAATATTTTCTTGCAGATTTAAAATAATTGAAATCAAACAGCTACTAGGAGGTTGGCCTGGTCCAAGGGACATAACTCTTATGAATCACTCATATGTTTGTCTTCACACTATTTTCATAACAAATTGCAAGCTTCTAAGAAACACAGATTTTTTGAATATTGTTTCACATGAATGCTTAAGAGCAATGCGGAAACTCTCTGTTACAAACACATAAGTGATTTGAAGGGTTATCTCCCTTTTTCTAGGTCTACCCCATTAATCACAGACCTAAAAACACCATTTTCTAATATTTCACAAAAATAATAAAATTAAAATTGTTATTTGATTTTCTTTGTATATAACGAAAACATGAAAACAAATGTGTGTCTTTTCATCCATTTTTTTTTGAAGAACCAGTGTGAACAAAAATATGATTGGTGAAGCGACAGATAGGGAAGCACATAATTTTGGTGATTTTTAGGTCCAACTCATAACATCTATCATGCAGTTTGATGCAAAATTCCCTTATCTTACGAAAGAAACCATTTATAAGTTGACCACTTTTCTTACAATAAGTTATTTTAATTCAAACTTTATCAAGCACTTTAAAATAAACAATTTGTTTGATGTTAAAATCTATATTGATCACGAGAACGTAACTCCCTTTAAGAAAGACAAATTTCTCCTCAGCAATTTTTATCTAAAAACATAAATATTGGAGTTCAAGCTTGATAAAGTTTAAGAATCTTTTATTTGTAAGAATATTGGTTAACACATGGAGGTTTTTTGGGTGTCATACAATTTTGCATTGAATAAGAATGGACATTGGAAGGATGTTCATGACATATTCTGATTGGATTAAAAAGCATTCTGATTGCTGTTCTTCATCCTGTATCAAAGCAGAATGATTTAAGTTGCATTATTAAAATTTTTATAATTCGTATTTTAAAATGATTTTTGAAAGAGGTCTAATTCCTTGGCTAATAAGAAACCCATCATGGAAACATTTGTAAGAATCAGTTAAACATCAAATTAAGAAAGCTTGATGAATTTTTATCAGTTTGAATGGTTATTATCAAATTTAGCCTCATGTTTATCTAAATGTGTACAATATTTTGATGATAATTTTGAAAATAATTGAATTTTCTAGCAGTTTCCTTTTTAATCTGGAACTAAATAGAAAGTTCCCCATGCATGTACTACAACAAGTTTTCTTCAATGCACAAAACACATGATCCAAAATAAATGAAGGATCTACGAAACCAAAATGAAAACATGCTGCATGCAATCATGCCTTTATCCACGACAAATACACATGGTGATGGTGATGGTGTGCTAACAGTTTTTTTCCATTTAAACAAAAAAAACCAACATCAAAACACAAAGTAAACATGAATTTCCATTTTTTAAGAATGCTTAAACGGTGTGTTGTGTAAATTCCATAATGTCAAAATAAATAGCAGCTTTTCTAACATCAAAATTTGACAATTTGTAATACAGTCTTAAGTTCAAAATAGTAAATGGTTCCCAACTTGTGTTTGCCAAGTAAAACCAGGCACAATTAATAAAGAAATGACTAAATTACTAGAAAATAAGACAAACCAAAATAGTGAGGAGAATACAGGGTAAATACTACATCAAAATAATAAATTAAAACACTTCTAACACGAAGTACACAACAACAGAAAACATTTAAGCATTCTTTTCTACAAGGAAGGGATGGGTTTGTGAAAGGTTCATGGTCTGGTTGTGTTCAGTCAACCATAACAGTTGTTACACATCACTGACCAGCTGATCCCCATTTTCTGTCGTAGCTTCTGCAGATTTGGCTTTTGGCTGTGGGGTGCTAGTGATGATTCCAGGGGTATCATAGCCAACATCTTCTTGTCGTATCCGTAGTAATTGAGAATCTTCTTCCTTGGATACAGTCCATGGATACGTCTCTATGATCCAATCTGTGGGGTCCTCCCATGGGGCTCTTCTGCCATAAACCTAATTAATAAATGAATAGTACCAAATGCGGTAGATAAGAACATGTTTTAATTCCTTGAATGAATTTAGACATATTTCACAGGTAATTTCTGTAAAGGTATTTTCTTGCAGTCTTTTGTTTGTAATACATGTTAAAGTTTAAAAACAGGGCAATCTAAAAATAGCATTCAAAGTACTCAATGTAGCTGCAAACAGGCAGTGATTTGTGACGGGGTTGCTTCCCTTGAATTGTAGATACTTAGCCAGCCATAAGCAGTTGAGCTAAGGAAGTATTTCTTTAGCTCAGTCTGTTAAAGAGCTGACTTCGAACACAGAGGTCCAGGATTCCAGTCTCAGAGGAGATGTGATTTTCTAATAAGAATCATGTTCCCTGGTTACAGATTAAAAATAAATGTTAAAAAAAAAATTAGAGGTCAATCTATTTGACCTTCTTCAACCTTATTGGCACATATGCTCATTTAAAAGAAGCTCAGAAGTTTGAAAACAGGTTTAAGCTAAGTCTTTATTCTACATAACAAAAAAATGTTCAACTCAAAATTAACTCTCTTACCTGTAACCCTTCTCTGACAGCCTCTAACATGTAAGGTATTATTGAATAATTCCACAGGTCTATAAACCATATCTGTGAAGCTGTTATATCCATGGGACATGTAAGGAACAGCCGTGGACCTACAATACAAATCAAAATACTGTCATACTGTCCCCTGAAAAGTCTTGAAAAATACTAACTTTATGAAAGTAATTATTGTTTCCACAAACTTTTATATTTGCATATCAAAAGGGGTCTAACTCAAAGTTGTTAACTAAATGTGATGAAAATCTTATATACGTGCATAACATCTCAAAGATATATACTTTCGACAACCTGAAGAATAACCTTTATGAAATTGAAAACATGTCACATGGTATGCAAGATCAAGATAAAGCTTGGTGCCACCAAATATCTAGATGTTTGAACTTGTTTTTGCTGAGAAAAATGAGACAATATTGTGTTATAGACAGATGGATGAACAGAGGTAAAACAGTACACCCCCTCCATTGAATCTGGAGTATAAAAATCACTTGATAATCTGTTAAATCACTGACCTATTGTAACATCAGATGAACTATGTGTTTCCAGGAATTTATTTATGTGTAACCAGACTTTTGGAATCCAGTCTATTATCTTATTCAGGTCGTTATTTCTAATTCCTGTCCGTACTTCAGCTTCCACCAACTTCCGGCGCAAAAACCTGCCAAGGAATCCCTTCACTGGTTCCATATGATTGGCACACAGCACCCACCTGATAAATTAAAATGTTCAATATAATTCAATGCATATAAATTTTATGTATTCGTTGTGCAATATATGTCTTTCTCCTTTTCCAATAATTGACATATTTTATTGGATGATACTTTATATAAAATACTATGAGGTAATATCAATGAAGTTCAAATTGTCCTAAAATTCAATACAACATGACTTTGAATATAATTCATTCTCCAATTACTTTCAGTACATAAATTTATGTCTTCGATGACCTTTTTAATATTGAATTTTCTTTAACATTGTAACATTAGTTCTGTACAACATTTGATTAAATTTTATACCCTAGATGTTTCCTACAAGTGATAATGTTTCAAGATTATAAATTTCTCACCTGAAGTTATGATGAAGTTGAAGATTTGTTGTAGAACATGTAGCTTGGTTCATTGTTCCTATGATGTAAGGACTAAAAACAGAAAAAATGAGGAAGATTATAATAATTTAATGATCACAGCACTAGAAGAACAATTTATTTTGGAAATCCTCATCATCATTCCAATAGCATATAGATATTTGAACTAGTTAACTGTTTAACATTTTTCTTATTCAAATGCATTACTTTTGATACATATTAACATTTTCTATTGAACAAGGTTGTTATATATCTTGAAAACAAATACATAAACAAAAACCCAAAAAAATAATATTCATCTTTTTTATAATAAATAAGATCAATAAGTGTTTTTTATTCAGTTTCTAAGCAACAGGTATATATTGAAACATCTTCAAATTTATAAAAAAAATAAATGAAGAATGTGTCCATGGGACACAGATGCCCCACTTGTAAATTTACGGCAAATTCTGCAATTTATCAATTTACCAAGGGACATAACTCAAGAACGGCACCCAAATTTGAACTTGATTTGTAATTGGTAGTAATAAGCATTATGTATAAGTTTCATAACATTTGGTTGAGGCAAACTAAAGTTAGAGTGCAGAAAGAGCAAGTTTAGCTATTTTTCCATTTATAAAGGGACATAACTAGAGAACAGGAAAATGACACCATCCAAATTCAAACTTGATCTGAGTTTGGTGGTTATCAGCATTGTGTATAAGTTTCATAATATTTGGTTGAGGCAAACTTAAAGTTAGAGAACAGAGACTAATTTTGGAACATATGGACAGACAAGGGTAAAGATTTATGGTGAAACAAATTAAACCAACAAGTGAATTTGAATTAATTATCATCCTAAATATATTCACAATGAGCTGTATGACCAACTTCTTCTATTTTCTTTATTCTTTAAAGTTACCTACCATTTTTGATATTTAACACTAAGGAAACCATTGAACACTTCTCCAAGTGAACCAACATGATGGAGGTTGTCGAGGATTATAACACTTGGAAGTTCTCCAGCGCTACTGTTCTCACACTGATCAGCAATGTTGGCTAAATACTGTCGTAATTCTTTGGCAGATTTATGGTCTACATTAAATGTGGCTACTGATCCTGCTGTTAATTCTTTACCAGACCTACATGTAGAATAAACAACTGAACTGTGATAGAAACTTAACAATAGCTTACAATTGGTGCTTGCTGTCTGCCTTAAATGTTTGTTGTTAAATGTTGTATGATAAATCAGGCCGTTAGAATTCTCTTCTGAATTGTTTTGCATTTTTTTTCCTCATTGTTGAAGGCAGTACAGTAACCTGGTCTTTGGTGGATAGTTGTCCTTTTAAGAATCATAGAAAATCTTCTTATTTATATAATTAGATACCATTAATAATATTCATGGTTATTTTAATATTTCTGTTTTTGTTTAAGGTCCATCTATAACCATCAAGTTGCAAGAAATACTTAAATGTTACGAAGTTGCTGCCAGAATAAAATACACCCAGTAGACAGTGCTTCCATTATTAAATTGATTCATTTTGATGCACATTTTTTCAGCTCATTAGCAAGGTTTTTGTACCAAAACTTAGTTGATAACTCAATCAGACAAAGCTCCAAAATAACCAATCACTATTATGTCTGACAATATCTTGTCAAAATATGTTTTCATTACTTCAAGTGTACAACACATCAATTTCTTAACCAAAAGCTTACCTAAGAACTAAATGTTCTGCCAATTTCTGGGCTAAATATGTCTTGCCTGTGCCACTGGGACCACATAGAATAATTCTTCGATGTTCTAACAATAATGATACATATCGTTGCACTATAGATTTTGGTATTAATGTTTCGAAGGCCAGAGAATCCACGCTGTTCTGTTTGGTACCTGAAAGAAAAAGAGCAACACTTTACCTTACAGATGAATAATTCAGAAATTTGTGATAGAAAAAAGGACTCTTTAACTTGATTATTGAAAATTCAAGGAATTTTATTGACAAACTAATTTTGAAAACAGCACCTGAGGTTTACATTTTTTTGAGATATTGATGTAACAATTTTCTGCCATCAATATCATTAAATAAACTACTTCATTTTGAGCAACTGTTCCTTATGATCTCAAGGTCACTCAGGTAATAATGAGCAATCCAAGAAAATGAAAAAAACAGGTACCAGATGTCTTTGATGAAGTGATAGGTGTTTACATTAGTTCAGTAAATTTATTTAATACTGTTGTTTCATCTGTTTTCGTGGATTGAGGAAAAATTGTATTTTCATGGAAATTTGATTTGGTGATTTTGCCGAAGTCTGCATACAATCTTATAGAAAATTTGTTCTCAGTCAAACATTGAAATTTATGATTCACCTTTTATCCACAAATTCCACGAAAATCTGTATCCCACAAATAATAATTAATCCACTGTATAACATTCAGAAACAAAACTTGAAGCTAATGCAAAATAATAAAAATGTCATTATGTTCTGTTTTTTGTTATTAAAAAATTAACATTTTTATCTCATGTACATTTCAAGTCAGTGTTACAATCTTAGGACAAACAACAACGTTCAATAAGGTCCTGAATGTTTCAAAGGCCACAAGGACAATTATTATTTGCGGGTCTGTACAAAATATCACTGGACAATCAAGAATTGTGGAACTTGAAATTAACATTCATTCTAGTAAAAAACTCAATTTTCTGGTCTAGCAAGTTTTCCTTCACAAATTCATACAATTTTGATACTGCGTTCCCAACAATCTGAATCAATTTCAGTATTCCAATCATCCTTACCTTTCAAACAGATTCCTATCTGCATTGTCTCCCCTACTAAGTAACCAATGGGAAGTAACTCTGGTAATTCTGCTTCCTTCGTTCGCATGATTTCACCAATATGATATGAATAAACACTTTCAGCACTTAGACCAAGATTAGTGACTGGATCTACCCGTAAAACATATTCCTACAGAACAAAATAAATTAGGGATTAAAAATGTCTATTTTACACAATGTTAAATTACATTTTTGTTCAAATAAACTAAGATTTTGTCTTTTCCACTCATCCACATATAAGTAGTTGCAGAATGGGCATAATATTCAGCCCATCTAACATCCTAATGCATTGGCTCATCATTAATTTTACCTATAACTATATGTAAAAAGGCTTTTTTTGGTCAAAAATGTCCATTTCAACATGGTCAGTGACAACACAACTGAATTTTCCTACAGGGCCCTCGGCCATAAAACTTTACTCAGTACTCGGAGTACAAAATTTGTGCTCGAAACACCAAATCAAGGATTTTGATTGGTTGATTTCCTAGTCTGAGTACAAAAAATCGTGCTCGAAAGTTTTATGACTGCAAGGCCTGAAGTGTCCAGATTAAAGAACTCTATTCATCTATCAATAGAACTGACATAATTTGGAAAGAGTAGAAAAGCTTTACAAATTTAGAAATTTTAGGGGCCAAATATTGGCTTTCATCATACCCTCCTTTAAGTGGACATTGGTGGGCTTGTGAAAGATGCAAATTGTAGGAACACTATTATTTATAGTAAATCTCAGTGGCTCTTTTCACAAAAAATCTTAAGAGAAAAAATACTCGTAAGTCATACAAATTTCAGTATAACTTACAATTGATTTTAATCGTAAGATATTTTGCAAAAAGAGTTGCTGGTTTTATTTACAGGATCACATGATAAATCAACAAAAGTCAAAATGTGGCAAAAGAAAACCTAAAAGTTAAAAAGATTGGAACACAGTGACTTTTAAGATTTCATTATCTCAGTGAAAGCAACATCAAATTAATTTTCAGATGAAGCTTTGAATTAACAAATCATATTAATGCTACACTCAAACAAAAATTTCTATGTTTATAGTTAAGCACTATAATCATGATTTTCCAATGAATTTTCTTGTAAAAATACAATCAATCATTAAATGTAACTAAGTGCTGCTAAAATTTGTTTTCAGAAACCAAAATAAAAATATTTAATATTATGCTCACAATCATTGCTTTTCATTCAATAAAATGCAATCAAACTTGAAATTAAATTCATTTGACCCCTTAGGCCTTAGAATTAATCTCAGCAAAAAGTCAAAAAATTCTGATTGAATAATATTGTTTTGAGTTTAGAGTGTACTCTTACATTTTTATTCAGTTACAAATAACATATAATAATATTTAACACAATGTTTTATCTATAATTTCCCATAATGCAAATCTTACAGCAGGTTCAACGTTTCATAATAAAACTGTAAACTTTTAACACACAAAGTTTTTTTCATCCCGAAATACATACCTTTAATATTTTTCTAACAATATTATCTAAAATATCCCATTTTGTCTTCCCACTGACGGATAATGAACCAATTAATACTTCAGCTGGTTTCTGAAAAAGAAATTTTCTACAATTACCTCCCTTGGTTTCTCAAAAGAGGATAAAATATTTATAACAAAGATTTTTTTTATTTTAAATTTCATATTTCCTGTTTAGTAATGGAATTTATTTCAACATAACTGATATAACAATAAAGAAGATGTGAAATGATTCTTATGAGACATCTATCCATCAAAGACCAAAGGAAATGGATGTAAACAACTAAACTTCAACAATGAATCAAACCCATACCGTAAAGAAAGCTATAAAATGATCTGACATGACAAAATGTGTGTTTTATTTTTTAACAAAACATTTCCAATATACAATACTTTAAATTACTGCCAAAGAATGCAGACTCATTAAAAAGAAACAGGTATATGTTTTCTGGCATGCCTTTGACTTAAATATTTGAATGAGTGACAAGATTAAGTCTACCATGACAGACATTTTATTTTTACATTTCTATCCTACATCTTTCATTGCAGAAGATAATACAAAGCTATCTAATCTTTAATTTATAAATCAATTTTTGAAAGTTTAAAGTTATAAGATTTGTGAACTGATTTTTCTGTTGATGTCACAGGAAAAAATTAAGTAGAAAGTACCAAACTGATAATAAAAAAAAATGGAGAATGTGTCTATTGCACCAACTTGCCTACAACGTTATAAAGGGACATAACTAAAAAATGGTAACAGTGACTCCAACCGAATTCAAACTTGATCTGTGTTTTGTGGTATTAAGCATCATGTATAAGTTTCATAACATTTAGTTGAGGCAAACTAAAGTTAGAGAATGGAAACAAATTTCGGGGCTTACAAACGAACAAGGATAACACTGAATGCCCCCTCTGCTGTGGAGATCAAAATTCAATCAAATAACTGACCTTACCATTGCAAAAACGAAAACAACATAAAGACAAAAAATAGCCTAAAAATCACTACATATAGAAAAGTAAAGTCCTAGCAGCACTAACCCCACCTAAAACCAGGGGTAATCTCAAGTACAAATTGTGAGTGAAGTCTCATCCTATGATTGGTAAAATTGCATAATAAGGATGAAATTGTGGCTTTAAAAGACAATTTTTATTGGTGGAGGAATAGTAGATAACAATTACTTCTAGAAAAAGACCCATTTCAGTTGACTTACCAAAACATCTGTACACAGCCGTAAAGGACTTGGTTTAGAACCTAAATACACAGTCATTGTCACTCTCTTTCCTTCTCGATCCTGACTTTCTGATAATAACATTTCTGAAATGGAAGGATACAATAGTAATACATCTAAACTGGTGAAAATGACTTTCTTTTGAGCAAAAAACTCTTTGTATCAGTATAACTTGATATTCTGATACTTCTTTTTTTGTTTGTTTGTTGATGTTTAACGCCACTTTCAGCAAATTTTGTTGTATCATGACAGCCAGTTTTTATTGGTGGAAGAAGTTCCGAGTACCCATAGTAGAACAACCTACCTTTGGTAGAAAAGAATAACTAGCAATCCTTGTCAATTGAGATAATAGTCAAGCACACCCTGCCACAATCAGGGTTTAGTAGTTCAGTGGTTGTCGTTGGTTCATGTCTGTCATATTTGTTTTTCGTAAATTGCTTTGTTATAAATAAGGCTGTTAGTTTTCTCAATTGAATTGTTTCATATATTCATATAGGGGCCTTTTATAGCCGACCATACGGTATGGGTTTTTCTCATTGTTACAGGCCGTATGGTTGCCTATAATTGCTCACATCAACTTCATTTGAACTTTGGTGGATAGTTGTCTCATTGGCAATCATACCACATGTCCTTATTTTTATATTTAAACCTATGATGATTTGACAGGCCAATGATAACTGTCGATGAACTACTTAGACCACTGGCCCACTGAGACCACCTTGACATATGTTAAATAAATAAATTTCATTAAAATTAATAAATCATTTAAAAAGGAGTTTGAAAAAGGAATATGGGGGTCTACATGGGAAATCCATAGGTGTCATCTTTTCAAACCTTTGTCCCCCAGTAGTCAGCAATTCTGTATTGGCATGAATTATCATTAATATGGTCATAATTATAAATTAACTGTTTATAAAACTTTGAATTACTCGAAATACTAAAGATTTTCTACCCAAGGAATAAAATACCTAAGCTGTATTTGGCAAAACCTTTTGGAATTTACTGTCCTCAACGCTCTTCAACTTTGTATTTTATTTAGCCTTTTAAATTTTTTCATTTCAAGCGTCACTGATAAGTCTTTGGTAGACGAAACGCACGTCTGGCGTACACACTTTTAATCCTGGTATCTACGATGAGTTTATATACTGACAACCATCAATCATGGAAAAAATGGTTTTGAATCAGAATGAAAGATCACAGCAGGAGCATACACACCTACATCTAACTTTTTCATTATTTTATACAAAATAATGTATTACAAAAGTTAGGGTATAATATCAATTTAAACAAGATTGCAGGTGATGTTTTCCTAAGCATACCCTAACTCAATATTTAAAAGTATTATCAAACAGGAAGCAGGTGTCCCAACAGACAGGAAATGTGGTCACACATTACAACTTATCACTATCAAGCCGCTGACCAAGTATTAAGTCACTCTGTTTAGTACTACCTATGAAAAGTATGACAGAAGTATTTGATGGACTAACAGACAAAATGATGGACAGACAGATGGATGGACAATGTAAATGAAATATAGTTACCAGTTAGAGTGGGGATATACCAAGACTAATTTTAATGTTAGATATTTGTCTAATGAATCACTATATGTCTGCAAACTTACCAACAAAAGCAGCTATCAACATACCTTCACTAGGTTGATCTTGAATAAAATGTCCAGTAAATGAAACACTATTTTTTCAAACCTGATCTATATTAAAGAAGGTTTCAACATACCTATACTAGGTTGATCTTGAATAAAATGTCCAGTAAATAAAACACTATTTTTTCAAACCTGATCTATATTAAAGAAGGTTTCAACATACCTATACTAGGTTGATCTTCAATAAAATGTCCAGTAAATGAAACACTATTTTTTCAAACCTGATCTATATTAAAGAAAGGATTCCACATACCTAAACTAGGCTGTTCTTCAATACTATGAGGTCTATCCAATGAAACACTATTTTTCCTAGAGTGAGCAATTAAGGCAGGGTTCAACATACCTAAACTAGGCTGTTCTTGAACACTAATAGATCTATCCAACGAATCACTATTTGTCCGTGAGTGAACAATTAAGGAAGACTGAGACGTGTTAAGTCCTCGCGACACCATCATACGTTGGAGTCTATCATTGTCAGCTTTTAAGGCACTCATTTCATTTTTCATTTTAGTCATTGTCTCTCGGAGTTGTTCTAACTGATGTGCAGAGGACAGAGCCTCTAAACGAGTGTCTGTTAATTTCATATCTTTATCACGAAGTTGCTTCCGTAAATCTAATACTGTTGATACATCTTCAGCTTCATAAATTCTGGAAAAAGAAAAAGATGGCTATTAAACTTGTAAAGTATTGTTTCAATAGAAAAACCAAAGGTTGAATGGTGTTACACCTTTTGCAATAAACACACAATTGATAATATTCTAGTGCCGCTGTCTCATTTGCACTACCTAACAGGCTTGGTTCATATCTGTCATATTTGTTTTCCATAAATTGTATTGTTATAAATTGGGCCATTAGTATTCTTGTTTATATTGTTTCACATTTTATCATGTCGGGGAATTTTAAAACTGGCTATATGGCATGGGATTTGCTAATTGTTGAAGGCCATACGGTGGCCTATAATTGCTTACTTCCATGTCATCTGAACTCTGGCGGATAGTTGTCTTATTGGCAATCATACCACATCTCTTAATCTTTATATTGTAGCCAGTACGTATCTTAGGATTTTGAAACTCTGACTTTAGACTTTAAGTCTTTTGTTTTCAGGGGGATTCATCCAAACCCCTCTTAGTTTAAACAATATTTTATTTTTCAAAAGTGCACAAATTACAATTATACAATAGAAATACAGGGATTTGGAAACAAGAAGAACTTATATAAACCCCTCTTGCTGTGGGTGTGCCCTTATGTAGCACAATTTTATGAGTGACACGATACATGTTTTTTACTGATAACTCCAGGGAAAAGTCTCCTGGTCAATAAATAATTGTTGCCACATAACATTCAATTACTCTAACAGCAGATTTATAAACAAAGTTATGCATGCGAAGGATGTGTTGCAAGTCTAGTTTGGAGAAGAATTAACCTCTTAAGGTGGTACATAACACTACAGGGAGATAACTCTGTAATAAAATGCTTCGCTGGGCGCAGCTTGATACGACCGCAGAGGTCGAACCCTGAACAGTTGGGGCAAGTATGGACACAACATTCAAGCTTGATACAGCTCTGAATTTGGATTGTGATTAAATATTTGACACAGCATAGGTTTCTGACACAGAAAGAATGTGGTCTAAGAACTTCAATTTTTTTAATTTACCTATTATGGTCCAATGTCCAAAATCAAAATACATGGTTAGATTCAGCATATCAAAGAACCCCATATATTCAATTTTTGTTGAAATCAAACAAAGTTTAATTTTGGACCCCAACTTGGACAAACTTGAAAACTGGTCCCATAATCAAAAATCTAAACACATGTTTAGATTCAGCATATCAAAGTACCCCAAGAATTCAATTTTTGTTAAAATCAAACTAAGTTTAATTTTGGACCCTTTGGACCTTAATGTAGACCAATTTAAAAAACAGGACCCAAAATTAAAAATCTAAAAACACGGTTAGATTTGGCATATCAAAGAACCCCAATAATTCAATTTTTGATGAAATCAAACAAAGCTTAATTTTGGACCCTTTTGACCTCAATATGAACCAATTTGATAGCAGGCCCACAAAATAAAAAATCTAAATACATGGTAAGATTCAGCATATCAAAGAACCCCATATATTCAAATTTTGTTGAAATCAAACAAAGTTTAATTTTGGACCCCAATTTGGACCAACTTGAAAACTGGGCCAAAAATCTAAAATCTAAATACATGTTTAGATTGAGCATATCAAAGAACCCCATATATTCAATTTTTGTTGAAATCAAACAAAGTTTAATTTTGGACCCCAACTTGGACCAACTTGAAAACTGGTCCCATAATCAAATTTCTAAACACATGTTTAGATTCAGCATATCAAAGAACCCCATATATTCAATTTTTGTTAAAATCAAACTAAGTTTAATTTTGGACCCTTTGGACCTTAATGTAGACCAATTTAAAAAACGGGACCCAAAATTAAAAATCTAAATACACGGTTAGATTTGGCATATCAAAGAACCCCAATAATTAAATTTTTGATGAAATCAAACAAGGTTTAATTTTGGACCCTTTTGACCTCAATATGAACCAATTTGATAGCGGGCCCACAAATAAAAAATCTAAATACATGGTAAGATTCAGCATATCAAAGAACCCCATATATTCAATTTTTGTTGAAATCAAACAAAGTTTAATTTTGGACCCCAATTTGGACCAACTTGAAAACTGGGCCAAAAATCTAAAATCTAAATACATGTTTAGATTCAGCATATCAAAGAACCCCATATATTCAATTTTTGTTGAAATCAAACAAAGTTTAATTTTGGACCCCAATTGGACCAACATGAAAACTGGGCCCATAATCAAAAATCTAAACACATGTTTAGATTCAGCATATCAAAGAACCCCAAGAATTCAATTTTTGTTAAAATCAAACTAAGTTTAATTTTGGACCCTTTGGACCTAAATGTAGACCAATTTAAAAACGGGACCCAAAATTAAAAATCTAAATACACGGTTAGATTTGGCATATCAAAGAACCCCAATAATTCAATTTTTGATGAAATCAAACAAAGTTTAATTTTGGACCCTTTTGACCTCAATATGAACCAATTTGATAGCGGGTCCACAAATAAAAAATCTAAATACATGGTTAGATTCAGCATATCAAAGAACCCCAAGAATTCAATTTTTGATGAAATCAAACAAAGTTTAATTTTGGACCCTTTTGACCTCAATGTGGACAAAGTTGATAACGGGGCCCAAAAATCAAAAATCTAAATACATGGTTAGATTCAGCATATCAAAGAACCCCATATATTCAATTTTTGTTGAAATCAAACAAAGTTTAATTTCGGACCCCGATTTGGACCAACTTGAAAACTGGGCCCATAATCAAAAATCTAAATACATATTTAGATTCAGCATATCAAAGTACCCTAAAAATTCAATTTTTGTTAAAATCAAACTAAGTTTAATTTTGGACCCTTTTGACCTTAATGTAGACCAATTTGAAAACGGAACCAAAAATTAAGAATCTAAATACACGGTTAGATTCGGCATATCAAAGAACCCCAATAATTCAATTTTTGATGAAATCAAACAAAGTTAAATTTTGGACCCTTTGGACCTCAATGTGGACCAATTTAAAAACGGGGCTCAAAATCCAAAAACTTAATACACGGTTAGATTCAGCATATTAAAGAACCCCAAGAATTCAAGAATAAAACCCCATTGAAATTGATCAAGAAATAAGCAATTTATACGAAGTATCTTCTTTTGCACAATACTGTGCAATTGAATATTTCTTGCTATTGTGCAATACTGTACAATTGACAATTTCTTGCTATTGCGCAATATTGTGCTATTGGATATTTCTTGCTATTGCGCAATACTGTGCAATTGAAGATTTCTTGCTATTGCGCAATACTGTGCAATTGAAGATTTCTTGCAATTGTGCAATACTGTGCAATTGAAAATTTCTTGCTATTGCACAATACTTATTATATAATAATTTACACATCCTGTTTGGTGTGTATCTCCTACCATATCATTATTATTTGCTTTTAAATATTAATCAGAAATAACCAACTTAAAATGGAAAATTTTAAAAGAAAAAAAAAAGGAAAAAAAGAAAAAAAAAGAAAAAAAAAAATCCCCCCCCCCAAATTTTTTGAACCCCCTTATGATTCATCACCCCCAAACTCAATCCCAGCCTTCCCTTTGTGGTATGGTACCTTGCAGTACAATTTCAGAGAGATCCATACACTTGAACACAAGTTATTGTCTGGAAACTAGAAAAATGCTTATTTTTGGCCCCCAATTCCTAAACGTTTCGGGCAATTACCCCCAAACTCAATTCCAGCTTTCCCTTTGTGATATGGAACCTTGTAGTACAATTTCAGAAGTATCCAAACACTTACACACAAGTTATTGTCATGAAACTAGAAAAATGCTTGTTTTTTGCCCCTTTTTTGGCCCCTAATTCCTAAAATTTTGAGGCAATTACCCCCAAAATCAATTACAGCCTTCCCTTTGTGATATGGAACCTTGTGGTACAATGTCAGAGAGATCCATACACTTACACACAAGTTATTGTCTGGAAGTTACAAAAATGCTTATTTTTGGCCCCTTTTTGGCCCCTAATTCCTTAACTGTTGGTACCATAACCCCCAAAATCGATCCCCACCTTCCTTTCGTGGTATTGAACCTTATGGTAAAATTTCATGGAGATCCATTCACTTAAACTAAAGTTAGAGTGCGAAAACCAATGTGTCTTCGGACGACGCCGGACGACGACGACGACGACGCCAACGTCATACCAATATACGACCAAAAAATTTTCAATTTTTGCGGTCGTATAAAAATCAGCTCAACGTTTTAATCACGTTCTATTGTTAAGGAAATATTAAGCTTCTCAATGATCAAAATTAGTGTTTGTCAATCTGCTATATATCTGAATAAATTTTTCTGATAAAGTGTGTGGTTCAAGTTTTTTTAAATTTTTATATTTTTGTCAAAGGTTCAAAGTAAATATTTTGTCAAAATTTTATGAAAATTAAACGAGACAAATTAATTTTAGTCAAGGTGTTTGGTACCACCTTAACAAAACTACATGTTCAAAAGGTGAACAACCAACATATGCACAGCCAATGAAATGTCAACGTACATTTCAGATATTTTCAATTTTAATAGAAAAAGCTATTTATAAATATTACAATGTTTATTTTTCACATTTGATTTATTATTTGCACATTACAAAATGTAACCTGATTTCCAAATAATTGGCAAAAAAATTGTATTTCTCTTGGATAATAAATTTCATTTCTATTTTAGTTTCTTTATCAGATTCCTACTATTCTTGGTCTAAAAATACTTTACAAATATTCATTAAATAGTAACAAAGCTGTATAAGTTTCATCAAATAATTTATAATAATTTTTTTTTGGCTTAAATTCAATCTGTACAAGTGGCATTAATATCGTTCTAATTACAAAATAAATGATTTTATAATTCAATTATAAATAACTGTTACAACTTATATGTTATAGAAAAATGATCTATACAAATTAATATTGCAAATGACAAAATATTCAGTTACATAATTCCAGCCAATTATGGTTCATAAAAATAAAAGAAATGTAAATAGGAACCTAGAACTTGACATTGAAAAGTGGGTGATCAACCTTGACAATGGTTTGAAACTGAAAAAAAAAAATGCAGTGATTTTTTTCTAATTCTTATTTTCTAGTTTTTACTTTTTGGTGTTTGCGGCAGTGTTGCTGTGATTGTGCATGTAGGAAAGAACGGAAAAAGGGATCATTTCATGAACAGTCTTTATACATCTATGAATCCACAAATTTAACTGTAATTGTAACATTGACAAAAATCATTTTGCATTTGACATTAAAACTGAATCCATATTCTCCCGGTAATTCTCCTAGATGTCTCTTAGTTTCTGTCTCATTGATGTGTATCCCGGCCTGGTCGAACCAAAGACTTTAAAATTGGTATTTACTGCTTCTCCGCTAAGCACTAGGCTCGGAGTCAGAATAATGTTTCCTGTAGGGTGACATATCTTCCTGCTGACTGTTACCTTGTGAACTAGCATGTTAGATATCCGGCTTGGAGTGTCAGTCTAGTACAAAGCAGGTTTAATAATCATATTATATTAACATGTTCTCGTCCTCAATATATATTTGAATTGCCGCTGGATGTCAACCAGTCATCCATCATCATCATCATCATCATCATCATCATCTCTTTCACTTTGTTTGTAGTAGGAAATAGAGGTTTACTATACTTACGCTCCAGATGAATGTGAACCTTTGATAAAACTTGGACCATTTGGCATGTGGACCTGTAACAATGGAGAATTCGGGGCTGAAGCATTGGACCTTAGACTTCCCATATCCATCTCACAGTCTGACATGGACCCATTCCTATTCTTTTTCTTGGCAAAAGCCTTACTAAAGGAACTTCTTAACTGCAAAACAAAAATATATTGCATTATTGTTCATTTTTTTCACATGGTAAGAAAATGTCCATTTCAGATATAATATTACAAAAAAATCTTGAACAACATCAAAGCCAGCAAGATTTATTTTGCTTCTTTCAAGTGGTTGAAGAAATATGTAACACTGTGTCTTTGATTTGTTATAAATGTTTTACAATAAAAAAACAACTGCTATAGTTAATGTTATATTATTAGCTCAACATTATTACTAATTTCTATTGATAACCATTATAACTTTGTTACGTGCCCTTTTTGGCCCAAAGTAATAGTTTAGTTTGATAAAGGATTTGTATCTGTTGCCTGATTAGATAAAATGACCCTTCTTTAATGCCACCTGTGGATTTTTGTGTTTTTGGGTTGCTGTCACCAAGTTTATACTTAACATGTTTTACACACTCTAAGCACATTAAAATGTCCAAAAACAAGTGTGTAATTGAAACTTGCAGTTTTATTTCTGATCTGACAATACTTTTCATTGTTGACCACCACATTGGCCGATACCAGTGTGTAATAGAAACTTGCAGTTTTATTTCTGATCTGACAATACTTTTCATTGTTGACCACCACATTGACCGATACAAGTGTGTAATAGAAACTTGCAGTTTTATTTCTGATCTGACAATACTTTTCATTGTTGACCACCACATTGGCCGATACCAGTGTGTAATAGAAACTTGCAGTTTTATTTCTGATCTGACAATACTTTTCATTGTTGACCACCACATTGGCCGATACCAGTGTGTAATAGAAACTTGCAGTTTTATTTCTGATCTGACAATACTTTTCATTGTTGACCCCCACATTGACTGATACAAGTGTGTAATAGAAACTGGCAGTTTTATTTCTGATCTGAAAATACTTTTCATCGTGACCACCACATTGACAATCTAAGATTTGTTTGCTGAAGAAAAAGCTGTTGTTCATTGCTAATGTTTCCATAGTTACCAACACAACAGATTATTGAATTTTGTCAAAAAAACAGTTAAAGTGGGAAAGAAATACTGTGGATTCATTTATCTTTGTATAAAATTGAGAATGGAAATGGGGAATGTGTCAAAGAGACAACAACCCGACCATAGAGCAGACAACAGCCGAAGGCCACCAATGGGTCTTCAATGCAGTGAGAAACTCCCGCACCCGGAGGCTTCCTTCAGCTGGCCCCTAAATGTACATTTTTTTCTTTCTTCAGTACTTTCTAATTTGCTATTTCAGTATCCATGGTAACCAAAGCATTGTGGGTAATATTTTCAAAGATGAACATTGAAGTGTTGTGAAAAGTTTAAACTTTCTAAAACAGAAATTTGACCAATGAAATGACATAATTTTAATTCAGGGATACACACAATAAAATTACCGTAAGATTCTGAAATAGTCAATTGTTTTTTTAACTTTTTTACTTACCCAGCCCTTCTTTTTCTTCTTTCCCTTCCCTGCATCCCCGTCTGTCGCTGCCGACTGTTGGCTCGTCATACTACAGGCACTTGATAAACTGTTTATACTGGACACACTATCAGAGGACATCTGACGCGTAATCCGAGCCTCTGTAAAATTCAAACAGACTCAAATGTCAAAAATAATTAAAATTAGGTAACAAGCTGTAATAATCAAAATGGCTTGAACATTATAAATAATTTTCTGATGTTTAAAAGTAACAAACAGAATTTTAATATCATTGGTTTTTATTATAACAAGAACTTTAAATCCATTTTGTGGTTCTGAAATTCAACAGAAAATCAAATATCATAAAAGAAAAAAAATCTGTTTAATGTCAACTCTTATTTCAAGTACCATCATAGTAATTAAACACTGCGATGAAATTTATAAAGAAAATTATTGACTAAATTTTTTTTCTCTCATAATGTAGGCCTGTGAAAATGGCATGACATTGATTAAATTAGAAATGTTAAATTAGTAACATTACAATTGTTTGAAGTATTCTGTTAAAATTTGGCCACAAAAGATCAAATTTTGTAAGTTTTCTAATATTTACAGTAATTGACAACAATTGATTGTGACAATATGCATAGGACCCAAGAAGGGGGAGAGAAAAATGTTCATGGAAAAAAGGAGTAAATTTCAATTTTACATGAAAAATTTTGATCTGTATTCATCTTTTCATGCAACTAGTCAAATTCATTTGGCTCCCAACTAGAGTTGAGGGTTGAGCGCTCACAACCATGTTTAATCCCGCCACATTCTTTATGTGCCTGTCCCAAGTCAGGAGCATGTAGTTCAGGTGGTTCATGACTGTCATATTTGTTTTTCGTTAATTGTTTTGTTATTAATTAGGCTGTTATTTTTCTCAATTGAATTGTTTCATAATTTTCATGTCTGGGCCTTTTATTGGCGACTATACGGTATGGGTTTTTCTCATTGTTGAAGGTCGTACGGTTGCCTATAATTGCTTACATCCACTTCATTTGAACTTTGGTGGATACTTGTCTCATTGGCAATCATACCTCATCTTCTTATTTTTATATTGTGTAAAATATGAAAACTGCTAAAATTAAACATGTGTTTTAGTTGTAAAAATGTTTACAATTATAGTCAAATTGGCTTTAAATGTCAATCAATTAAGAGAAAATCTGCCATCTTCGACAAGTCAACCTTTTCTTGTCTCAAATTAAGTAATATCTATGCATTTAGAACCTCAGTTCAAAGGTCCATCTCTCTTATAAGGTCAGATGGTGTTCTTTGGTTGACCTTTATAAACAGGTTTGACTGTAGTTGTTATTGTTCTTTGGTTGACCTTTATAAACAGGTTTGACTGTAGTTGTTATTGTTCTATGGTTGACCTTTATAAACAGGTTTGACTGTAGTTGTTATTGTTCTATGGTTGACCTTTATAAACAGGTTTGACTGCAGTTGTTATTGTTCTATGGTTGCCTTTATAAACAGGTTTGACTGTAGTTGTTATTGTTCTATGGTTGACCTTTATAAACAGGTTTGACTGTAGTTGTTATTGTTCTATGGTTGACCTTTATAAACAGGTTTGACTGCAGTTGTTATTGTTCTATGGTTGCCTTTATAAACAGGTTTGACTGTAGTTGTTATTGTTCTATGGTTGACCTTTATAAACAGGCTTGACTGTAGTTATTATTGTTCTATGGTTGCCTTTATAAACAGGTTTGACTGTAGTTGTTATTGTTCTATGGTTGACCTTTATAAACAGGCTTGACTGTAGTTGTTATTGTTCTATGGTTGCCTTTATAAACAGGTTTGACTGTAGTTGTTATTCTAACTATGGGAAAAGTCTAAAATTGTCATGAATGTGAAATATTGTATAAAAGGAATATTGTATTGTTTTATTGTACTGATCTGCATCTAAATTCTTTAATATAATTTTATAATTATTTTTGGGTATCATTTGTTGAATTTCAAGCAATTTCAAAAGCAGTTGGCAAATAGCGAAAATAAAATTGCATGAAATTATATCCCCTGTTTTCCGTAACTGTGTAAATACTGTCAAGTACATATAGTAATATAGGATTTTTGATACAGGCACTTTGTGTAACAACATTCTTGAAATGACCCAATCATCTTAATAAATAAATAAACACATGCTAAAATAATCATTTTTCTACAAAATTGTAACAAACTCCAAAACATATACACACAAACACACATACACCAAAATTTAAAATATAGGGAAACCTTCCAGAAAATTATGGTCAAAAGATAAAAAACATTGTTATCCAAAAAACTATAAAACAAATCAGACTTTGCATTAGAAATATATACATTTAAATGAAAATGTCATGAAAATATAATGTAGCCATTTTTGTTGGTTTTTTTCTTGCACATCAAACAATTAAAATAGTGTATATAACAAAGTTTATGTGTTATAGTTTGCCATTAAGACAACTATCTACCAAACACCAAATGACATAAAATGCTCCGCAGGGCGCAGCTTGATACGACCGCAGAGGTCGAACCCTGAACAGTTGGGGGAAGTATGGACACAACATTCAAGCTTGATACAGCTTTGCATTTGGATTGTGATTAAATATTTGACACAGCATAGGTTTCTAACACAGAATGAATGTGGTCTAAGAACTTAAAAATTTTAAATTGGACATTCACCTATTATGGTCCAATATCCAAAATCTAAATACAAGGTTAGATTCGGCATATCAAAGAACCCCAAGAATTCAATTTTTGATGAAATCAAACAAAGTTTAATTTTGGACCCTTTTGACCTCAATGTAGACAAAGTTGATAACGGGGCCCAAAAATCAAAAATCTAAATACATGGTTAGATTCAGCATATCAAAGAACCCCATATATTCAATTTTTGTTGAAATCAAACAAAGTTTAATTTTGGACCCCAATTTGGACCAACTTGAAAACTGGGCCCATAATCAAAAATCTAAATACATGTTTAGATTCAGCATATCAAAGAACCCTAAGAATTAAATTTTTGTTAAAATCAAACTAAGTTTAATTTTGGACCCTTTGGACCTTAATGTAGACCAATTTGAAAACGGAACCAAAAATTAAGAATCTAAATACACGGTTAGATTCGGCATATCAAAGAACCCCAATAATTCAATTTTTGATGAAATCAAACAAAGTTTAATTTTGGACCCTTTTGACCTCAATGTGGACAAAGTTGATAACGGGGCCCAAAAATCAAAAATCTAAATACATGGTTAGATTCAGCATATCAAAGAACCCCATATATTCAATTTTTGTTGAAATCAAACAAAGTTTAATTTTGGACCCCGATTTGGACCAACTTGAAAACTGGGCCCATAATCAAAAATCTAAATACATGTTTAGATTCAGCATATCAAAGAACCCTAAGAATTCAATTTTTGTTAAAATCAAACTAAGTTTAATTTTGGACCCTTTGGACCTTAATGTAGACCAATTTGAAAACGGAACCAAAATTTAAGAATCTAAATACACGGTTAGATTCGGCATATCAAAGAACCCCAATAATTCAATTTTTGATGAAATCAAACAAAGTTTAATTTTGGACCCTTTGGACCTCAATGTGGACCAATTTAAAAACGGGGCCCAAAATCCAAAAACTAAATACACGGTTAGATTCAGCATATTAAAGAACCCCATGAAATCAAGAATAAAACCCCATTGAAATTGGTCAAGAAATAAGCAATTTATAGGAAGTATCTTCTTTTGCACAATCCTGTGCTATTAAATATTTCTTGCTATTGCGCAATACTGTACAATTGACAATTTCTTGCTATTGCGCAATATTGTGCTATTGAATATTTCTTGCTATTGCGCAATACTGTGCAATTGAAGATTTCTTGCTATTGCGCAATACTGTGCAATTGAAGATTTCTTGCTATTGTGCAATACTGTGCAATTGAAAATTTCTTGCTATTGCACAATACTTATTATATAATAATTTACACATCCTGTTTGGTGTGTATCTCCTACCATATCATTATTATTTGATTTTAAATATAAATCAAAAATAACCAACTTAAAATGGAAATTTTAAAAGAAACAAAAAAGGAAAAAAAGAAAAAAAAAGGAAAAAAAAATAAATCCCCCCCCAAAATTTTTTGAACCCCCATTATGATTCATCACCCCCAAACTCAATCCCAGCCTTCCCTTTATGGTATGGTACCTTGCAGTACAATTTCAGAGAGATCCATACACTTGAACACAAGTTATTGTCTGGAAACTAGAAAAAAATGTGTTTTTTGGCCCCTTTTTGGCCCCAAATTCCTAAATGTTTAGGGCAATTACCCCCAAACTCAAACCCAGCTTTCCCTTTGTGATATGGAACCTTGTAGTACAATTTCAGAAAGATCCATACACTTACACACAAGTTATTGTCATGAAACTAGAAAAATGCTTGTTTTTTGCCCCTTTTTTGGCCCCTAATTCCTAAAATTTGGAGGCAATTACCCCCAAAATCAATCCCAGCATTCCTTTAGTGATATGGAACCTTGTGGTACAATGTCAGAGAGATCCATACACTAACACACAAGTTATGTCTGGAAGTTACAAACATGCTTATTTTTGGCCCCTAATTCCTTTACTGCTATTACCATAACCCCCAAAATCAATCCCAACCTTCCTTTTGTGGTATTGAACCTTGTGGTAAAATTTCATAAAGATCAATTCACTTAAACTAAAGTTAGAGTGCGAAAACCAATGTGTCTTCGGACGACGCCGGACGACGACGACGACGACGCCAACGTCATACCAATATACGACCACAAAAATTTTTTTGCGGTCGTATAAAAATGTGAAATATTTTAAAACAGAAAACGAACGGCTAAAAAAATTTCAATAGATTTTTCTATAAAAAATTATGTACTTCATTTTTCAAATTATTTGGAACCAATTTGAATTTTGTTTAGCGTTTTTTTTTTTTTTTAAGTTGGTAAAAAATGATAAAACTATTAAAAATAGATTCATAAAACGAACTATCTCTATAAAATTCAACAAGGAGACAATTGATTACATGAGAGCTGGTTCCTGGCAGGGTTAGGTGTGACTGGGTACTAGACTACAGTGTGACTACATTGATTAGTAAGAATTTTCCATGTTATATTACCAGCAGGCATCGGCAGGGTATGAAACGCCCTACCTCCTTGGTGATGGTGGTGATGGTGTTGGTGTGTTTGATGGTTTGGAGAGCTATGAATATCAACTTTAGCGACCATACCAGGGGATGTATGGCGACGTCCTACATTGGGGCTGATGATTGGGTCTGGTATATTAAAGCCACTTTGTCTTTTCAAGGATTCTATTGTTGTCCGTAGTTCATTGAGTTCAGAGTCCTGTAAAAAAAAAAAAAAACGTTACTCTATGTTTATTTTAACACCTTAAAGAATTCTGAAAACTGTATACAACTGCCAAATGAATTGTGAACGATGTGAGATATACAAAGAGACAGCAACCCAACTTATACAAACACAAAGACATCTAAGAGTCAACACAAGTCTTTAACAATTAAGCCAGGTGTTAACACAATAGGTCAAGCTTTGAACAACCTTGAGTCCAAAAATTTATAACTTGAGACCATAAAAGATCAATTATCAACTCCATAGTCTCCAAAAAGACAGAAAATGTCTCTAAACTTAACCACTTATGAAACAAGTGTACAAGATCTCACTTAGACTTGCTACAATTCCCTTTCTTTTATTTCTTTCTTACTAATTTATATGTTTACTGAAAACTGCCAGTATACTGATTGCCCTCGGAGTTCCTCTGCAGATGTCAGTATAATGGTAATCTCTTAGTTATAGCAGTAAAATTGTTAAAGGGGCAAAATTGAAAAGAAAAAAAAGAAAACTAGGAAGGGACATGTAGCAAGTCTAGATCTCACTGTATACGTCAGTGCCTTAGTCTCATGCAAATAGGTTGACAAAGTTTCACTGTATTATTCATGCAGACTTTGATATACAGTACCTCAAATTACTTCTTTCCTCAAAATGAGGTCACTTAATTATTTACACTGGCTGCATGATGTCTGGTATCAAATATAATATTCTCATAATATTACACATCAAACAAAATATTAAAATGTCATTCAAATTACATCTTTGTACTCATTACAAAAAAAGTTTATAGAAATGTTGTTTGTTTTTTTCTTTTTGCCCTTTGAAACAAATAAACGTTGTTATTCCGCAATAATCTGCAATATGAGGGAAACTCAAAACAATTCCTGTTCAACAGAATAACATGATCTACACTTGGTAAATATCACCCAGAGAGGATGCCAAGAGAAATTAACTACCGAATTTAAAGAGAAAATTAATGTAGAAAATTTGGCAAGTGTCTTTACATTAAACATCTGATAGTTTGATACAAGGATCTTCACTTGGAATAACATTTCTTAATATCAACTGCCAATATACACACATAAATATTCTGTAAATTATCAACAACTCTAGAAACAAAATTCCACCTAAAACCAACACTTTACTTGTTTATTTTTAATTATCTTGCTGATATTTTCTATCAACATCAGAAGCTTTGAAGAAAGGTACATCACTTTCCAATGTCTAAACAGTAGATCATAAGTTTATGTTGTGAAATTTAAAGTTCTTTTATGCAAATCTGAGTATAATATTCTTAATGATTAAACATAAATTTAGCCGTTAATGAAAAACAGCACATTCTGAACCAAAAAACTGAATATGAACAGATCAAATCACACTCAAAGGTGTTACTCTTACTAAACTGAAATGACAAAAAACAGGCTGTATCATTAGAGCAATTTTTCTACACAACATTTATATATGTTAATCAACTTTCTTGTTAAATTTTACTGAAAGTTATTCCAAACTCACAGTTCATAATTCTATTGTGGTGTCCTGGTGTACTGTCGTAAATCCATGGGAGGTGTTTGTTGTTATTCTGTGGTTTACATGTTGTAATGTACTATTATATTATTTATGTATTTCTCTGTCCTGAATGTTCTTGCGTTTATTTGTACTGTATTCCTGTCACGTAATGTTGTCATTTTAGTGGTTATTTTTAACATTGCCATTTAAGCGGGAGGTTTGGCTAGCCATAAAACCCGGTTCAACTTACCATTTTTTCTTAAAATGTCCTCTACAAAGTCAGGAATATGGCAGTTGTTATCAAATAGTCCATTCCTATGTATGTTGGTGTTTGTTTTTGTAGCAGTTCAGTGTTTGTTGTTCCGTTGTTTTCCCCTTATAGTTGATGTTGTTTTCCCCTTATAGTTGAAGTGTTTCCCTCGGTTTTGGTTTGTGACATAGATTTGTTTTCGCTAAATTGATTTCTGACTTTTGAACAGAGGTATACTACTGTTACCTTTATCTAAAATCTAGGGTAAAGGTCATTTGAACATTATTGGTTTCTATTTATATAAATTTCTTTAACAGCTCTTTGAATGAACATGGAACTAAAGTTGGTCTTTACTGATACCTGACTCATTGGCAATCATACAATATCCCCTTTTTCATATTGAACTGACCAAGTGCATGCAAACTTGTTATCACAAACAGTAACAATTAACATTCCTGAGAGTCCACTGTATGTAAACATTTCATAGTGAGGAAATACAACTCTCTCTCTCTGGTATTCCCCAGTGAATGTATTAGATTATCTATTTCATTCATACAGCAAACATATATAAATGTTATCCATGGCATGTTGAGCAATCAAATAGATTAATCAATTATTCCACTTCCAGAAAATAATACTGAAATTCAATGTTTTCTGATGAAAACTGAAAAGTCAGGTACATGTATGTTCTGATGAGAAAGAGCAGAATCTGTATTTAAAGTTAGAGGGACACAATTCACCAGAGTGTCAAAACAAGAAAGGTTGGTTAACCATGAATAATTTCTGAACATTTTCAGCAAAAAATTCAGAACGCCAAAGTAGAAACCTCTGTAATCAAAGGAGTCTAGCGGCTGGACTCAGAAAGGCTAGGTACAGGAGTCTAGTGGCTGGACTCAGAAAGGCTACATGTAGGTACAGGAGTCTAGTGGCTGGACTCAGAAAGGCTAGGTACAGGAGTCTAGTGGCTGGACTCAGAAAGGCTAGGTACAGGAGTCTAGTGGCTGGACTCAGAAAGGCTAGGTATAGGAGTCTAGTGGATGGACTCAGAAAGGCTAGGTACAGGAGTCTAGTGGCTGGACTCAGAAAGGCTAGGTACAAACTGCTGGAGAGCAAATGTGTTTAAACCTCTGTAATCAAAGGAGTCTAGTGGCTGGACTCAGAAAGGCTAGGTACAGGAGTCTAGTGGCTGGACTCAGAAAGGCTAGGTACAGGAGTCTAGTGGCTGGACTCAGAAAGGCTAGGTATAGGAGTCTAGTGGATGGACTCAGAAAGGCTAGGTACAGGAGTCTAGTGGCTGGACTCAGAAAGGCTAGGTACAAACTGCTGGAGAGCAAATGTGTTTAAACCTCTGTAATCAAAGGAGTCTAGTGGCTGGACTCAGAAAGGCTAGGTACAGGAGTCTAGTGGCTGGACTCAGAAAGGCTAGGTACAGGAGTCTAGTGGCTGGACTCAGAAAGGCTAGGTACAGGAGTCTAGTGGCTGCACTCAAAAAGGCTAGGTACAAACACCTGGAGAGCAAATGTGTATAAACCTCTGTAATCAAAGGAGTCTAGTGGCTGGACTCAGAAAGGCTAGGTACAGGAGTCTAGTGGCTGGACTCAGAAAGGCTAGGTACAGAAGTCTAGTGGCTGGACTCAGAAAGGCTAGGTACAGGAGTCTAGTGGCTGCACTCAGAAAGGCTAGGTACAGGAGTCTAGTGGCTGCACTCAAAAAGGCTAGGTACAAACACCTGGAGAGCAAATGTGTATAAACCTCTGTAATCAAAGGAGTCTAGTGGCTGGACTCAGAAAGGCTAGGTACAGGAGTCTAGTGGCTGGACTCAGAAAGGCTAGGTACAGGAGTCTAGTAGCTGGACTCAGAAAGGCTAGGTACAAACACCTGGAGAGCAAATGTGTACTAGTAATTTTTGGGGCCCTTTATAGCTTGCTGTTCGGTGTGAGCCAAAGCTCTGTGTTGGAGACCGTACTTTGACCTATAATGGTTTACTTTTATAAATTTTGACTTGGATGGAGAGTTGTCTCATTGGAACTCATACCACATCTTCTTATAACTATTAGACCCAACTCGTAGAATATAGATTACAAAAGATATTTTCCTCTCTGTTCAGACAGACAGTATGGCTTAAGCTCTCCAAAATAAACATGACCTGCAGACAAAAACAATCTTAATACACAATCTCATCATATCCTTAGACATTTTTATGGAGGGGTCGAGTGTTTATTTTCTTTGATATTAAAAGTACAAATACAAACAATTAAATAAAAAAGGCTTATGAATACAGACAATGTAGAGTTAGGTGGAAGGCCTTGCCACATGTTGGTACAGTAAAGGCCTATAAAAATAACTTTAAGATGGAGAACAGCAATAAAATTGAAGTTCCTTTAATATTGGTATTATCTTTGGTGTTTAACAAAACAGTAATAAGACCTAAATATTCACATTATTTTATCATTTTTATCTCATTTTTCAACAGATCCATCATTTTTGCATCAGATTGCAATTGTCCCATCATTTATGAAATTATGACACATTTTTCCAATTGTTCCACTATTTTTGACACGTTTGCTAACAATAAATAACATTACATCCTGGAGTTCTGGTACAATATCATGTTTTATATACCGTCTCAGGAAAAAAGCAAAAACAAAGAACCACTGGAAATCTCTGGTATAATACCATGTTTTATATATCGTCTCAGGAATAGGCCAAAAACCAAGAAACACATTATATATTTAAGACAAAGCCTTACCTTGCAGAAGACTGATCAAAATTCCACAAATTTACGCATAAAACATTCCACATAAAATAAAAGTACAAATTCCTACACCAAATTGGAAAGCGTCCTCAAATTCCCCCATCAGATCTGTGAGTCAAATATTCAAATTCACTATTTGTTGATTATAAACTGTTAAATTAATATTATAAAAACATATGGACACGTTAAAACAATATTTCCAACTGTAAATATTATGAGCTAGACTGAGCTCCCCATCTTGTAAAACCATTCCATTTTGTCTGGTCCCCTGCCAATAATAATGCATGGCACTTCAACTAAACAAACAGTCAGATACCTGATCAACACTTAATGGAAACTCGTTAGTCTGGCATATAATTAACTCAGATACAGTGATAATGACTCAATACAATTTTAAGTGTTTATAAGTAATTACAAATTAACAATATTTCACATCTGGTCAAAGCACCTGCTTCAAAATTAGAAGAATTCAATTTTAACAGATTTTAAAAAATAGAAAAATTTAATTGATCTGCACTTAATGTAATTTCTTCATCAACATCCAACTAATAAATTAATTTTTTTTTTTTTATAATTATTAACAAACTTTACTTTTATAAATTGTAACTTGGATGGATAGTTGTCTCATTAGCACTCATACCACATCTTCCTATATCTATTTACAATTCCTCACATAGCATGGAAACACCTGGTTTTTTTTTCAAAAAGATAATTTGAATAATTTATTCGACCTACACTTATTGCAATTAGTTAGTCAACATGCAATTGACAGATTGATGGTAAGTGTTTTTTAATTAATTGCAAATTAACAATATTTTACGTCAGGTTGAAGCACATGTTTTTGAAAGATTGATGTAACTTTGTTTTCATTAAAATTTCTCAACTCAGAAAAATATACCTTTCATAAAAATTTTAACCAATTCAAACTTACAGAAAATTATTAGACAACATTGTAAAAATATTTCTGCTTTGTGTTGAATGCTTTCCCAGGCCCCAAAATAGGAAAACAAAATCCTTATTCTTACTCATAATTAACAGATACAGTTAAAGTTGTTTATTTCAAATATACATAAAATTGAGAATGGAAATAGGGAATGTGTCAAAGAGAAAACAACCCGACCATAGAGCAGACAACAGCCGAAGGCCACCAATGGGTCTTCAATGCAGCGAGAAACTCCCGCACCTGGAGATGTCCTTCAGCTGGCCCCTAAACAAATATGTATACTAGTTCAATGATAATGGACGTCATACTAAACTCCAAATTATGTATTAATAATATATTGTATTCACATCTGGTCCAAGCACCTGTTTGGACAGAAAAACTTCTGTGTTTTATGAGATTTTTTAAATTTATGACAATTTTTATCAGTAGATTTCATAATAATTCAGATAATACAAGTTTACTTTGATTTATGAGATACAATTTATGTCTAGATAATCTGATAATCCATAGAAATGTGGCAAACAAGGGAGATAAATCTCCCTCCAAAATCATCAGGGAAAAAGAAGCAATATCTAAAAACTTGGCCTCAATAATGTTAAGACTGTATTATCTTTCTAACAGTTATTAAAAAATTAGAAGTGGAAAAATTATTTACAATAAAATTTAAGTGGCATATGACAGCTGCAACAGTTGAGTTCTGTAAAGTGAAAATTCTTCCTGCTATTTTAGAAGTAAAAGCAGAATCATGCTGACAAATAAAAATGCAGTTATAAAACCTAACATTCAAATTTAGTTCTAGAAATCTTGTGAATTAAAACTCTGAGAACATAGGAATATCTTAATCATACTGACAAGAAAAAACCCCAAAAATATTTCATACAAGAGCTTTAATGCAATCACTTTTTTTGGACTTTAAGAGCGGCAGAACTATGATGTTTTGAGGCTCTAGATTATATCCCTAGAGAAGTAGGCATGAGCAGGATACATTAATAAACGAAGCATGATATGAAAACAAAAAATGCATGTCTGATTCATTACACTCCTCCCTACTCAAATTAATTATACAGCTGGCTAATCAAATACCCCACCATAGATACTGCCAAACTATAAAAGTGAAAATTTTGAAAGAAACATCAATATATTTGTATGTCGGAAAAGCCACATTTATTTAGTCGGAAACGAATACATCATTTACAAGCAAATTTGCTGCATGTTATACATTACCATTTTCAAAACATCCATATGTAACTTTGCAGAAAAATATCCACTTTTGCACATTTTGAAATCCACACATCAAAAATCAGAAAAAATGAAATTGGGATGTTCTCAAATGTCTCTTAACTATATAAAACTTTCTGTATAATGCACGAAATGACTGGGAGAAAGCTGTACTACAAGAATTTGCTCATAAGACAAACAATTCATGCAGTTATATCAAGAGAATGACAAGCTACCGAAGTTATTCAGGGAGTAGTGATGTCATCTATGTAACGAACAAAGGAAAATAATTAATTTTCATTGTCTATAGCCATCTAAACTTCATATAGAGGTAATCAGAACATTTGTCAAGTCTCATGTACTTTTAATTAAATCTGCATCAACATTTTTTACCTTCCTGTTTTTAGACTGTCAATCAAAGCGCTGAAAGTACTGTTAGAAACATTAAATATCTGACAATTGGTGTTTTTTTGGATGAGTAGCTGAGAGATAAGACCTTAAGGGAAGATAAGTAAATCAAAATAAACAATGGAGAAACATAACAAAGAAAATAAATTTCAAAGATAAAATCTTTTTAGATGAACAGTCTCTAGATACAAAAATAACAGAATGTTAAAAGGGACTCATAATATTACGTCATTCAGTTGCCCCAAGAACAACAGTTCTTAAAGAAGTGAATAGAGTAAACAGTTATTGGATATTGTAACATCCCCTTTTTTATGTTATTTATCCTTAAACTGGGTTAAATATCCTGAAGACTGATAAATGCACCCACAAAGAGGGAAAACTATCAACTGTATTCTCTTCTTCAATCTATTTGATAATTCCTTCTTTATATTGAAAGTTGTCTACTGTTGGATAAGGTGTACTCTTCAAAAAGTATGTAAATGAAAGTTAAGAAACTTAGGGCTTTAAACTTTTCTGTGTGCATCTGTTTTTACTGCATAGAAAAACATTTTAAAGTAGGGTTTCATAAATGATAATAGAATTATCAGAAGGGTAGGGTTTCAGGCTTAGATTAAAAAAAATAGGAAACAATCTAATAAAAAAATATGTGGAGGTCAGAAAACCTGTCAAATCATGAATACAAATCATTAAGACCTCTTTTCAAGACAGAATTCAAAACTCAAATGCAATCACATAGAAATTTTCAGCCTAATAATTTTGTATCACAAAAGGAACTAATAAAAAAATAGACAAATGACTTATGCTTGAATAGCACCATATTGATCAAAACAAAACTTAAAATATACCAGGGTAATAACAATAGAAAGTCTGACAAGATGCCTGTCTTTATTTATTAGACAATGATCTATTCCATGAGAAGGCTTTCCAATCTAATCCATTCCAGGCACCAGGAAAGCTCAATAGGGAACAAGTATTATTTAGTTGTGATAAAAATATGTTTCTATTGGGAATTCTGGTATTTGTTTTCTTATCTACAGGAAGTCTCTATCTTATGATACTTTATACTGATTACAATACCGACCATTATATATAAAGTCAAAGTAACACTTAAACTTAACCCTTCCATTTACATGGGTTTATAAAAGTTATCCCCTATTCACAATTTTTTTTTTTTTATTTTTCAAAATCTGTTTTAAGGCTGAAGATTAAGAGTTTTATTTTAATATAATAAACATACAAAAACATTTTCATCTATGGTTGAAAACTAAAGTCTTAAACAATTTGAAAACATTTCAATATTTAAACAGATAACTGCACACAAAGTGCCTGTTTCCAAGAAGGATAACTCTTGCAAACAAGCAACCAAAGGGAAGTCAAATTTTTGAAAAACAATGAAAACTTGAAATAAAACCAATATTTTTTTAATGTTGTGCAGATAAATGGCAAGCACAAACAAGTACAGCATGAAGAGAACACTGTACACACAGCCAGAAACTTGAGCTGTGAAGTACAATTCTTTTTTCAAATGTGAATATGTGTGTGTATCATTAAAATTTTACAATCTTAAATTTCTTCAGGCCACAAAAAAATTTACAATCTTAAATTCCTTCAGGCCACAAAGAAATTTACAATCTTAGATCCCTTCAGGCCACAAAAAAATCACAATCTTAGATTCCTTCAGGCCACAAAAAAAAATTACAATCTTAGATTCCTTCAGGCCACAAAAATATTTACAATCTTAGATTCCTTCAGGCCACAAAAAAAATCACAATCTTAAGGTTCATTCAGAACACAAAAATGATAGTTATGAACCTATTTATAATCTAAACTGATCCTGAACTTTGTTAAAAGCTACAAAACATAAACACTTTAAAAATCTGTACTAGAAATGGATAAACATCAAGATTAACTCCCAGATTTTTGAAGTGTATAGCATCATAAACTTAATGGTCACAACCTAATAGACATTCAATATGTTTCTGATAAAGATCAAGATTCTTCTGATACCATTTCTGCTTTGATTTATGGAGAGATATCAAATGTAATAAGAGTTTTTAATGTTTCAAAAATATTAGGAAGTAGACATCTATCTATTCATAGACTCCACCAAGATCTGTCTAGTAATTAAAATTGCATATTGTGGAATGAATGAGCTTTGACTTACACAACAGATATCTGAATTTGAATAAATATATGCGCCATATATATCATTAAAATTTCATGGATTGAGTGTTCCTCAGATGAAGGTAAATCCAGAAAAAAGCTTGCAGACGCACCAAATATATAAATTGTTATTTTCATGACTAAAAATTCTTTTTTTTAGATAAAGTAACAATGGCACCAAATTTATAAAGTGTTATTTTCAGGACTAAAGATATATTTTTAGATAAAGTATCAATGATGAAATTCAAGATTATTTTCTACTATACACCTGGCTTAATTCTATACCTGCATGAAAGATTATGGTCTATGACACCTGGCATTTTCTATTTTACATGTATATAGATCAAGATTAAGATCCTTATCAAAGCACATGACAAATATCTGAAATGAAAGTGATGATGTTACAATCTATAAAATGACATTTTAAATCTTACCACCAAGATGTATCAACGAAAACATTGCAACCAACCATTCCAAATATTGTATCTCCTTCAATCGAAAAATGATATAATAATGAAGCTATGATGTAATCAATGCATCCGGTTTTATTTTCTATGATATAAACCAAATCATGAAGTGTACAAGGCATCCTGCCAACATGTCATGTTTCTTTAACTTTTTTAAGGAGAGCTTGTAAAATTCAATTTAAAAAGTTTACAACAGGCCAATTCCCAGTAATTGTTTAAAAATAACTTACCTTTTGATTGGAGGTCGACGTCAGGTGTTGAAGCCTGTGGGTCATGTTGGATAGACTCTGTTCAAATGCTGCCACGACATGGGCCTGTAAAAAAAGGGGGATAAAGTTATTTGACAGTCCATTAGCTGAATAAATACTCATCCATACTTTCAAATTCTACGTGCAGAATTGCTGCAAAATGCAAATGACTAAAGTGATGATTACATGTTCACATGTCTACAAAAACTCACACACTAAATTATTATCTATCTGTAAGTTTCTAGTTTTACATGCAGAATCAATGTCACTGATATGTTTTATAGATCCCACAAGTCACAGAAACACAACTTAATATTACATAACCTAATTTTAGTGACGCCATGTTAAAGATTTATCCCGACATTGATCTTATTAAGCATACCAATATCAGAAAAAATTTGCTGAAAAAAAGATCAGGAAAGGTTTTTACAAATGGAAATTATGTATTCATACCGCTATGTTTAACTTGAATTGGAATATTCAGCGGGATTACGCCATAAATGGACATCAATATTTGATGACGGTACTAAGAGACTTTTATGGTATATTTTCTATTTTGACCTTTATGAGCCATTTCAGGGTCATTTATTTGAATACACAATCAACCATAATGAATTCTCAATAGAACTATACAGTTTTCTGCTATTGATTCCTAGAATTGATGATATTTTAATTTGATTGATTGATTGTTGTTTGTTTTCTGTCTAGTGGCATATCATTTAACTCAGAAATAACTTCCATAGTAAGCAAAGAGTTTATGAATGATCCACAAAATTGGTAAAAGCAATAGGATTTGTATAGTCAACAAAAAAAATCCTTGGTAAAAGTTTTAGTAGCAAACAGGAATATGATGCAATTGAAAAAAGATCACAGTGAATCAAGTCTATAGTTTTAATGGATAAGAATTTTTGTTTTTATAGATGAATTACTTGATCAATTCCTTTAAAGAACTTTGAGTATGACAGTGCATGTGCACTGTTATTAAAGTATTACCAATGTTAAATCCTCAACAGAAGTTGGCAATCCTTCAAATACAATACTGTATGCAATAAAGTAAAATGTTCCAATAATTTATCTAAAATATCCCAGGAACATCCTCTGGGATTGTGCAACATTGTAGTCAATGACTCCTTACTGTCAACCATAGAATAGATGACAGATGTCAGCCAATCAAAAGGGGTGTTACATGTCATTACTTTACACAATGTCACCTAACTTTGAAAATTGTGTCCTCAGTGAAATGTGCCTTCAAGTTTGAGTGACCTTTACTAATTGTTCTTTTCTGTTTTTCTTGTACTTGTACTTGAAATAGAAGTCATATTTCAACACATTTGAAATGTCATTTCAAAGCTATTCATGACTAATTTGCAAAATAAAAGAAGAAATTAGTACCAGTTCTAAATCCACTCTTTATAATATCATTAGATGAAGGTGCCTCAGGATATCAGCAACATGATGATTTACATACAAAGGGAGCTAACTCTAGCTGCTTTATGTTCACAACCAATTTAAGATCTTGCTTTTTTTTTAAATATTTTTTGTATTCAGTAGTGTGGCATAAAAAGAATCCAAAGGAGTGCATTTTTTATTTTTAATAATTGTGGGAAATATCTATTTATAGCTGGATTCAAAGCATGATCAATCAAATTTCAAGAAATTGTGTTTTTTTTACTTTTACAGCAATTTACAGTTCAAATTGCTCCCTCAATATGATAATCTTAAATAAATACAGTTGTTTGAACTTTAATCTATCTAATGACCAGAAAGAAGATCAAGCAACTTGCAACTTTTCATGTAGGTTATGGACACATGCTGAGAAGGAAATGACATACAGTATTTCAAATTTGTTGATATCTTTTCATTCATCTATGCAATATAATGCTGATATACTAGAAGCACACTCCCGCACTGAAATCAACTTCTTATACATTACACCTGACCACCTAAATGTTGATTTTGTTCATATAATTATAACATGATTAAATTTAAAAGATCTTCTTGTTCTTGATAATTAAAACACTGATGCTTTAATCAAATTCATTCTTAGAGACAAGACACATCAAATTTTCAAACTTATTAAAGATTTTACATTCTCTATCCTAAAGCCAATTTTAGAAAATCTTCCAACAATCTAATATTGACTCAATAACTGATACTTTGTAACTTAAATCGAACCCTGAACATCCAAATCTTAAAAATTTTTACAATAATTCCAAATTTTGCATCCCTTACAAACTGAACAAATTTCTCATCATGTTGTCTCAACATCTCCCTCCCATCTAGAAAACATCTTCCCCTTATCTTAAAAGCTGCACGTTCATATCTCTCTCAGATTGTTATCTTACTGCCCGATAAAGTGCATATATTATTTCTTATGAATCATAAGCAACATTATTTACATTTCCTCAATCAAGATATGGATATATATCATATCAAGAAGGTCAAAGGTTGTAGATTTCCATGAAACCCTAAACTGACAAAAATTCATCAAATGTTTGATGATATATGGTAGAAATTGTTGATATTAATATCAAATATTGTCTAAGGCTGACTGACTGTCAGTCAACTCATTTTCAATTTTGTGTATGTTCATTTTTAGATAATTCAATGATCAAGTGGAAAAGAGCTCAGAAACTTTTATCCATTTGAGCAAGATGAATACATATTTGTACTTTAAAATTTTTAATGGGTGACTGTATAGAGATCCTAAAAATTCAATTCAGTCAGTCAGAGTTCTGGCTAATAATCCAATATGTCAGAAATGCAAATTCTGAATCAAAAGAAAATTAACACAGTTTCAATTAATTAATTGTCGTTTGCTTACTGTCCAATGGCAAGTATTTCATGCATTTAATCTAGGTAGATACCATATTGACAATTAATACTAAAAGTAGGTTCTACCAGAGACATGTCTCTGGTTCTACAATTTCCAGATGTAAAGAGGGGTCAGAGATAATTGTATGATATTATTCTATCTAATCCCAGGGAAATTCTGACCCAGTTTCCAAGCAAACTAAATCAAGTTATGCCAGTAATATTCATTTAGCAATCCCCCCAACCTCTCAATCTTATAATTGTGAACTTCAAGGCTAAGATAAAAATCATAAGTCACTATTTAATTCAATCCAAAAATTAGCCTGTATTTAATTGGATAATTGAAGTGTGGATTTCTCATTAAAATTACATATAATAAACACCATACACACATTTTTACTGTGGATTTATTGACACTGTCAATTAATACACAATTAATGTGGAATAAAAGAAAGATTATGGTATGCTATTTGGATAAAGGAACCATTAAAGTAATAATTCTGCAATATAAAAAGTTCTGGAAATAAAACTCTCTTGGTGATGGGATAAATAAACCAGATCATGAATACAGTGTCCAATTTATGAGCAGGTCACAAACAAAAATGAGGAACAAAGAGGGATTTCAAATTTTCTTCCCTCTAGCCTACAAATTTTAATTTTTAACATAGAATGATTAACATATTAATATCAATGGAGTCCAAGGATGATTAACATAAATTATCAATGGAATTTCAGAATTTCCCTTAATGATAATGGTTTTCAAACAACATGAGTAATTTTCTGTATTGATAAGAGAACTCAGTTGTCAGGGGATAAATGGACCAGTACATCAAGATAGACAGCTATTTGATAAACAAACCCATCATTCTATTCTAATACACAAAAGTAATGAATATTTTTGAATAAATAGGATAGATTTTTAAGGAAAAGGAAAACTCACCAGGGACCTTAATAACAGGAAGCAAAAAGTAGATGAACAAATGCCTTACCAGGAGTAACATGACAGGTGTAACATGTGGAGCAGGAACTGCTTACCCTTCCGGAGCACCTGAGTTCACACTCAGTTTTTGGTGGGGTTCAGGTGTTGGCCAATCTATTTTTCTTCGTAATGTTTTGTTACAAAATTGTTGTTTTTTCTTTTTGACGTTTTTATTTTTTGCCATAGTGTTGTGTTTTTTATTGGAACATGATTTTCAATTGCCCTTAAGGGACCTTGGTAATCTCATCTCTCTGTTTTAAACTTTTTTTGGAACAGTTTGCTTTAGAAAAACTTCCAACATTAACTTGCTGTCTTCAATAAAAATTCAAATTACTCTTTTAAGCTTAATGACACATCAGTGTCCTCTTTTCATAAAATTCCTTTTTTCTTTGAATTATTTTATAATTTCAAATGCTTTTTAGCCTTCAATTTCTTGTCATTGTAACCCCAGCAAATGTTTTTATTTTATTTCCTGAACAATGGCTTTAACCAGATAATGAGGAAACAGTGTTATTTCAAATAATTATGACAAAAGAATGCATCACGTTACTATGCCATATGGTTTTACACATCTCTTTCAAATGCAAATCAGAATCTGAGTACTGTCCTTTTCTCTTGACAATATTAAACTTTGTTCTGATAAAACAATTGAAATAGATTCTGATATTTGTGTCGAAACAAACATCTGCTGATGATGACTGGGGGACAAAACTGTAAAAATAATCATCAATACATTTACCATATAGTTCTATACTCACTCATAATCTATTTACATACAAAATGATGAAAACAGTTATATTGTATTAACTTAAATCATCGCCAATAATTATCGCTAATGATATTTGCATTCAGTTCAGGACAAAATCAATCTTTGATAACGGTCTCCATAGATCAGGACAATTAATGTAATTGTATTATATTGGTTAGTCAATAATTTGGTTAACTAGACAAAAGGGAGGTAATTCTTTCTCGTCAATAGATACAAACCCAAAAAGTTACTGATTACAACTATGACATGGTGTCACCATGACCTCAACATTCTGTCATTTCGCTTATTACTTGAAAAAGATATATTTTTGAATTCCTGATCATTATTTCTGACAAATTCATACATCTTAATAGCCCCATCCAGATAAAACTCATTGTTCCCCATTCTTAAATAGCATATATCACAATTACCAGAATAAAACCATGACATGATTCTGAAATAGATATGTTTTTGTGCAGCAAATTATTCCAGAATACTGAGGTATATTTTACAGATAAATATCTT